TGGATCCAGCTTCATTGGATGCCGGAGGGGCGTTGTGAGAGGAACCTTCAACAATGATTGGGCGAGAGTCATCGCTCTGAGTCTTTAGATCTGAAGACCAGTGAACCTTCTTCAAAGAAGAGATCTTCCTACACTTACAAGGGGAGGAGGGTCTAGAGGAGGAGGATGAGACGTACTCCTCAAACTTTTGTTGGTCAAACTCATACTCGACCTCTGCATCAACTGGGATCTTAATCTTTGGTTGCGACATGACAGTCTCAACAAAGAGGGTGTTAGCTCCTACTATGGTCGTCAGCGTGTTTGCATCAGAATTCAATTTCATTGTTGAATCTATTACAACGTTTATCGTTTACACAGATTCAAAAGAGTTAATCTTTTTATAAGATTTCTCATTACAACAAAAACAAAAAGAGATCTCCTAGAAACACACGTAGGATCGTTTATCGGTCATTGCTTGTGTGAGATCTTTGCATGTGTCGGGGATGCTTTGATCCGTGGACCACTGAGTATCAGATTCGGGTTGATCAAAACGAAGGCTCACTATTCTTTTTTTATTTTAGACACAATAACAGAAGTAAATATCTCAATAATACGAGATAAATACCCTTTTCAAGATCAAAACGACGTTTGATCCCAAGGGAAGATGGAAAAGCTACAGATCTCTCGAAAGCTCCCTCTTTATGCTGAAGAATTCACCAAGAGCTTGCCTTTAGATCTGAAATTCGTGGTTCTCCTTTCACAGGGCCAGTAACTCGCCTCCAAGTTCCAAATTCTAGATTACCCGTGCATAGGACGCTAGGGGTGTATTTATAGGCTTTGGATACTGTGTTTTCAGATAGGATTTCGTGATCTGGTCATCTCTTTAGTTAGAAATGACTTTACCATATTTAGGGATGATCCAAAAGCAGTTAGGGAGGTAACAGACAACACGAATCCCGATAAATCATCAAAAAACATGTTTTAGGGGAGTTTGACTATGAGAGACAGTTTTTATCTATCTCGGCATGAGAGACAGTTTTTATTTGTCTCGGGTTACAAGACACATTGGTTGTGTCTCGTTTGTCGCTTTGTCAATTTGCACGCTTTGTTGCTTCTTTGTTCTATTATTTTGTGTGTTCCTTTGCTTCTCTTTAGCATCGGATGATCTTCTTTGACTCGAATATCGACGTTCTTCGTCTTCTCTTTGTCTCGAGCTGTGTGCGGGAACCTATAAGTAATTTTTAATACCTACATGTAAGTATATATAAGTATACATTAATGACAATATACACTTAAAATATATATAAGTATACATTAATGACCATGTCATACTATAATTATATATATAAATATAAAAACTAAACATATTATATATAACTAAAAATCAGGCCGGGCAGAGGCCAAGCTTCACTAACTCGGCCTGGACCCCAACTGGAGCTTGGCATGCTCGAATTTTTCGGGCCTTACCCAGGTCTAGGATAAACATCGGGCCAGGTCAGGGCCCGAAGCCCATTTGGACTACCTTACTAGTGACATGTGCAAAGTGTCAGCTGACTAAGCCAACTGCATGGATCCAGCTGAAATTACCCAAATACCCTTGTCAATTCACTATAAATAAGCAGATTGTCTTCTACATAGAGGTACGCTCTTTTCTACAACAAAAAACCCTAAAAACTACTTCTTTTATGTACTTCTTCCCTTAAAGATCATCACTAACTTGATCATCAAAAGAACCACTAGAGAACCCAACGCTGACCCTCTAACGTTTCATATTTGCATAGGAATCTTCTTCTGCTCAAAGTGACTAGCCACAAAGAAGATGGAAGGACCCTAAGCTCTTCATCCTAACCCTAATAATTAAGTTTCTCACATTAACAACCATAAAAATAAAAAAGGGAACTAAATATAGAAAGCTGCTCTCCACTATAGAAAGAAAAAAGGGAACTAAATGAAACTTGTTTATAGGGGCCTATTAGATGAAAATGAGATTATATATATGCATAATAGAGGGAGGGGGTTATGTAACACTAGTACAAAATAGAGTAGTCCTAACGGTTGTAACTATTTGAGCAAGTACAGTCCTAAGCGGTTACAATCGTTTGGACGAAAAAAACCATTTGGGATAATATAAATCTTACATAATGTTTAAATCAATTGCAAAAATTCTTGATGATGTGTTTCAACACGTGCCTCATTTCAATTACTATGCATTGTACATATTTCATCCTTGTGTATTCTAATGTCAAAATGAGTAGTTATTTTGAGAAGAATATTATGTCATATAAACATATATAATTATGTGAAATAGACATACTCTCTAACTTCTCTAAGGCATTCGATATTGAGAAGGATAAAACGATGAATCTTGTTGATAAATGCGGGCGTCATTCTATTGTAATCCGGCTTTTTAGATGGTCCGTCATGAATCACAAGAGGTCTGTTGAGTTTTGTCTCAATGTCTTCATCTAGATAATGGGAATAAAAAGTGGTTACTTCGTCTAGCAGATAACCTTCCATAATAGAACCATTTGGTCGATTTCCATTGTGAATATAATTTTTCAGAGTGAGAAGATACCTACAAAAGCTTACACTTAATCACCAAATCCAAGCTGTAAAATAAAAATATATCGATTACGCTAACTGAAAAATTAAAGGTAGATTTTGATGGAATACATCCGTCGATATTGTACCGGTCCGGTAAGCCTAGCCTCGTTGTAAGATAAACAGTCAGGTGTATAATGATATCAAAGAATGATGATGAAAATCTGCTCAAGCTTGCATAAAATTAAGGGAATTTCAGCCTCTAGCTTCTTCAACTTATCATCCTTAATGTTTTTAGTGCACAATTCATTTAGGAAGGGAAGTCCTGAGAAAGAGTGGAAGAAGATGCTCCATAATAATATGGTGATCATGACTCTTCAACCCTTCGATCTTGTCTTTAACAATATTTATCTTCTTACTAAATGATCTTGAAAGTCCTGTAGAAACCTTCAACTCATGTAACACCTAAATAAACTTTTTCTTTTCATCTGGTGACATGTGACACACGACATTGGCGAGTACAAACTGGTCTGGATTGGCTGCCTTCGGTATACAATGCAATTCTTTTCTGATGTTCCACACTTGGAGATCCCTTTGAGATTTGAGGCTATCTTTTGGTTTTCCATCTTTACAGAGAAGTAAGATAAGTATGTGCTCAAATAATCCCTTCTTAATGTGCATGACGTCTAGATTGAGCCACACTTTATTTGTCTTCCAGTAGGGTAGTTTGAAGAAGATACTTTTCTTGTTCTATCCTTGTAGTGCTTCTTGTCTTTCCTTAACTTTCCTTAAAGTCATATTGTTTTTACCATTCCACTGAGCAAGTATATCCTCTCTGGATATGGGTCTGGATGCAGTCGATTCTCTTTAGTACCATTAAAGTGGATGATGTCATCTCTGTAAGGATGATTTTCATCCAACATGCGTCGATGGCCGCAATAACAAGTCTTATTGCTAAAGGGTAGCCTTCTCGATGTTGTCTGGAGATGACAGTAAGGACATGCAGCATAACCATGTACAGACCAACCAGATAGCATTCCACATGCAGGAAAATTGTTGATTGTCCACATTAAGGCTACATGCATGGTGAAGTCTGTCCCTGTGTCCGCATCATATGTCTCCACACCATCGATGAATAAAGACCTTAACTCTTCGATAAGAGGTCGAAGATAGACGTCAATATTATTTCCCGGTGACGTAGGACCATTAATAAGAAGAGGCATCATAAAATATGATTGGTTCATAGCCAACCACGATGAGAGGTTATAAACCATCATCACAACGGGCCATGTGTTTTGGGGATTGCCCTTAAAGCTGAAGGGGCAAAAGCTATTACTAGCTAATCCTAGCATGATATTACGAGGTTTCTGACTAAATATTAGGTGTCTACTATCAAAATCTTTCCATGTAGGTGTATCTCTAGAATGACTCTTCATCCATTTTCACTTGGACGTGCACGGTGATGCCAAGTCATCGCCACTGCTGTCTTCTTATACTTGAATAGCCTCTACAGCCTCTGTGTTATGGGAAAGTATCGTACTATCTTGATAGGTATATCTTTCTTCTGACCATGTATTTCTTCTTATATCCAGCCTCTTCACAAATAGGACACTCTATCTTATCTGAATTTTCTTTCCAGTAAATTATACAATCATTGGGACATGCATGTATCATCTCATACTTTAGACCCAGATTAGACGTTATCTTTTGAGCTTCGTACCAGCTCTTACGCATATGGTTCCCTGGACACATATAATCTTTATGAAACTTGACGAGCATCGTAAATGACTTGTTGCTCCATTTATTTAGATATTTAATCTGGAATAGATGGACGAATCATAACAACGTGGAGTGTTTTGCATTCTCATAAATGGGCCTCCTATCATCATTCATGTATTTATCATAATTATCTTTATGATGTCCTCCTCCGAAAGGAAGATCTTCAGCATGGTTAGTGTTACCAAGAGCTACCTCAACCATTTCCTCGATTTCCTTATCAAGAAACAAGTTGTCTTCTTCTTGTTTTTCTTCATTTGCATCACCGAGACCTTCAATTTCTCCATGATATACCCAAGTTTTGTAATCGCTAACAAAACCATTCTTCACAATATGATTCTCCATGATATACCCAAGTTTTGTAATCGCTAACAAAACCATTCTTCACAATATGAAGTTCTACTTCTTCCTCCAATTGATGTCCAAGTTTTGTAATCGCTAACAAAACCATTCTTCACAATATGAAGTTCTACTTCTTCCTCCAATTGATGTAACTTATTCACACAATTTACATGGCCAAATGAGTCTCCCATGTCGGACCATATAATGTCTACGTACAAAGTCCATGAAAACACTAACTCCATTAATGAAAATAGATTGCATGTATTCTACACGACCCACGTACATCCAATCCTTATCTCTGATGTAGTTACGGGCCATACTAACCTAAATAAAATAATTTAACAGTAACGACTTCTAAAAACATGGATTTACGGAATAAGCTAAGCATGATGATGAGTTTGCTTCGAAGATAGGGTTACAATTAAGAGCTAAATAGTTTAAACATATTCATCTTATTAAATAAAATAGAAAATATGTAAATATTATATAAATCATGAGGTATTAATGTAACTCATAATTTAAGAAGTGTCTAGAGGAAAAAAACAGGCGCTCCTATGTTACTTGGGTACTTCTATCATGAAGTCGTACTCGTACCCGACACGTACCTGACACTTATCAGTACCTAAACTTCATGGACACTCCTTGGATATATGCATACGTTTATTCTGACATGTGCTCAATTATATGATATATGTTTTAATTTAAAACACTTGTTAAACACTTCTTGAATGTATATCTTACACTTCACAATGGTCACATACATTTCTTGAAACTCGTTAGACATAATTCAGGTTCATTTCAGCCGATACCCAAGTTCAAAATTGTGATTTTAAAGGGTTGTTTTGAGTGTCTAGTTCATATCTGAGCAGTTTCCAATTTATAATAACCAACATAATAAAAGAAACTAAAAAACATAATAGGAATTCTAATTCTAGTAACACATGAATTGAAAAATAAGAATACTCTCATGTAAATTATTAATCTCAATATACATATGTATGTTTACCCTCTAGAAGTGCTATGAAAACTACAATGCTCTCTTCCTCGATCTGCCTAGAATTTTAACTAGTTTAGATCTAATGATGAAAATACAATTGCATAAATATCACAATAGCAACATCATACATTACATTAATTTTCATGAATAACCAGAAAATTCAGAAAATACAAGATAATAGCAGAAAAACTCAATATTTCCTAAAAATAAGAAAACTCTTAGAAACTACCTTAAATGAGTCTATTGGAGAAAGATGATGTTTGAGGAAGAGAAGGCGACATCGGGAAGTCGATTAATTTGGTG